CCAGCCGTGACGGCAACGAAAGAACGCACCATGACGAAGGATCACCCAAATCGCCATAAAAACGCAAACCCTAGCAACAAAGACGGAGACATCCCGTGTGTGTATATATATATATATATATATATAAATGTGAAGAAATTTTATTTTACAAGTACATTATCTTAGTTGATATGACAAAAATCTTTGTTCATGTCAACATCAAAACTATAGATATGCAGTAAGCTTTAACAACTTCTTACACAATAACTTTTTATAGCACTTTTCCATTAAAAAATATATAAAATATACCTGCGATAATGAATGTGAATGTTGTTAGGATAGTCTTACTTGAGACTAAGCAGGTTAATATGTTAATAAAGTGACGACTCTCTTGGGGGTCATTGAACTTTACTAGGTGGGTGTAAAACCTTGTTTTATCTAGAGTGTATTATGTTAGACCGACTATGCAAAACAAGATATTATGATAAATAATTGACGAGTCATTCATTGATATTTAAATATGCTACATGCCTATGAATAACATGGTAACTGAACGCATTAGTTGTCTTTTTTGCACATAACTTGCTATGAATTGCATTGCCTAAAGATGGTTGTCGGCATCTTTAAATCTTTGCCATAAACTTTAAACTGATTTTATACCCTGATTATAACTATTATAATTAAATATAACATTGTCAGTGGTTTTTATTTTCATTAATCATGTTGCACGACTTATGCCTTAATATTTTTGCTCTAATAAAACAGGATTCCAATGACTGAAGATTTCCTCTAATTGCAAGAACAAGCCCTTGGTCTTTGCCAGAACAAGCCTGCCAACTAGTGTGCCTGAATAGGTGCAATCCTATGCAGTTTTGTAGTTGGTATGCACCGTAAATAATGTAAGGTTTTATTTTAATGCAACATAATGGATAAAGATACAAAGTGTACAAAATTATTTAAGAAACTGTATGCAAGGAACTCAATAAATTCGATGGAATTAAATTTAAGATAAAATTCATTATTAAATTTAAGATAAAATTCATTAAGCATAATATCCTTATGAATTTAGCACTTAATCAGGCATAATTAATACAATTGGTTAAATTTAAATAAGTTGAAGAAATATATAAAATCAAGTTAATATATTAAAATTAAAAAAAAAATTGAATAATATTCCAGATATTAAAATTAAGCTGATTTGTTTTAATTAATTTCTGTAATTAACACAAAAATTCATGATTAAGAAATTTAATAAAATGTAATGCAAATTTATGATTAAAAATTAGTTAACATGTGATCAACGAATCAGATGATGAGCAACTTAATAATAATTACGCCTAATCTTACATAAGGAATAAATCAAGTAAATAGAAAACCAACCCGATTAAATTCCCAAAAATTATGAAACAATTTTTGCAAGTTCTTAAACATTATTTGAATATTTAAAGGTAAAATATGAACAAATTTAGTTGTGTTCATCATCCATAAAACGATTGCTGATTGAACTCAATTAATTTATATTAAATTCTAAACAGCACACTCACTAAGTTAAATTACTCAACAAGTCTTTGGCATTTTACTTAGTCTACATATCTTATATACTTAAGCCCGTCCTCCTAGTGGCCAATACTCCAAATTGGTTAGTGGAGGCGAACTTATCTTCATGGCTGCTAAAAAAAAATTATCTAAAAGAAAACTTATTAGCAAATAATTAGACGACAACATAAAAGGTTTATTATCACTAATGAGAGGCACATGACTAACTTGAGCTCATGATGTTACCTTTTGATGATGGATATGTTTGTAAATTCTAAAATGCAACTTTCAACCTCTAAATAGTGATTTGAAATACTTTAACATTACATTTAAACATCCAACAATCATATTCCTTCGAACTTGCACCATATTTTGGAAAAAAAATAAATATGTTTTTTGAAGGATAATATTTTGATAAAATTTAGTGGTAAGGAAGTACATGAAGTAAAACCAAAACTCTTAAAAATACAAATGCTAGAGAAAACAAGGAAAAAATTTTAATTTTAAAATAATGAATCACAAAATTAAATGAAAAGATCTAAAGACTGGAGACACAAATACGAGGAAATCATAACCTTAAAATCATAATGAAATCAACAAATAAGAGAACCTATGATATAAGGCCTATTTGGGATCACTTTCTATTGTTCTTCACAAAGCAATGTTGTGTTATTTTTATTTATGGTTTACAGGAAAAAAATGCTGGTACTTTCAAAGAGAAAGAAAACTTGCTAGGTAAGTGTGTTGCCTCAGGTCGTAAGGATATAAAGGAGAATTTGCAGCATAAAAAGTTTCATGGATTTTGTTGTGAGATATGTACTTCCTGGCATAGAAATGAGACGAAAAAGAACACAAGCAAACACAGATCGTTTATGTGGTTCGATCTGACTGGATCTACGTCCACGGGAGGGAATCAATCAAATATTTCACTAAGGCAAAAAAATGGAGAATACATAGCTTATACATAGAGATGAGCCCTCATCTTCCTTCTATGACCTCCCTCTCAAGCGACACCTTGATACAAGACCTCAAGATGCTCTCCTCCTCTAACTCTATAGCTATTCTCTCCTCCTTTGTGGTAGCTTAAGATCTCTTCTCCCTTGCTCTCCTAAGCCTCACACCCTCTCTATTTATAGAAGCAAGAGAGTGGTAGGTGGGAAGTAGGTGGCCGGTAGGTGAGCGGTAGGTAGAGATGTGGTAGGTGGCGGTGCCACATTACAAAATTGCCCTTTTACCTTAGTTCATTAATTGGGGATCAAAATAACAAATTTTGTGTAAAATAACATCCATTAAACATATATAAATAAAAGATATGTAAACATTTGTTTTGAAAAGTACAATTTGATGTACAGCCAAACTAATATACCAAAATATAAAGATGTATATATACAGGCATAAAATATAATTAGACATTTTAGATTTTCCATTTTCTGATGAAGATAAAATTTATAAGAAAATGTAATATTGTAATTCTTCACATGTAAATCATAAAAGTCAGCCATCAGTTAGATGTATCTTATAAAATTTGAACATTTTTTGTGTTAATCTTATTTTATATTCTTTTGTTCTCTTTATATTTATATTATATTTCATCTAATACGCAACACATTTTAATTCCCCAAACAATATTTTACTTTCTTTTTTCTTCGTATCAAACACATAAAAAATCAAAACCCATATATTAATTTTCCTTTATACTACTAACAAACAATCCCTAAAAGCAGTTCTAAAAGTGCAGCACTTCTTGGAAGTTCAAACAATGTTAAAAAATATCAGAGATTAATAATATATTAAACAATAATATATAGCAAGAGAAATTTTGAACCATCACGTTATGAAATGTGGTGTGAATAATGAGGTCAGAGTTTTTCGATGGGAATGAATACCCTTTTCAAAAGGACATTCGTTTGAATAAAAAGTTAACTTTTCTTTTTAGAAGTCTCGATTAATATTGTTTTAGGGTATTTACATGTATACCATGCAATTCTTATCCATTACATATCTAACATTTAAACCTTATTTTTTACATTCAAATTTTTAATATCACATAATAAATATCATTATTACTATCTTTTGACAATTGAAAGCCGCCTTTTAAAGCTTAATTAAAAAGATATGAATGTAAAGATCAAAGTTTGGGTATTAAATATGTAAATGCATAAAAATTATATGGTATGCATGTAAATCTTCTTTTTCTATTTGGGATTCCGGAAATCCTTACCTTAGGACTCTGGCTTTCAGCCAATTGGCGAAACGTCTCCGGATTCTTCCTGCCAGGAAAATATTTTCGGAATGTTGAGAGACAAATCTCAATTCTACTAAAATAAGCAGAAGTTTACATAAAACATATCATCACATGCCTAATTCTCACGTATATGTTAGATGTGATTGAGATATTAGGACTTCATGAAAATAAATATTAAAAGTTAAATATTTGATCTGTAAATAACTAAGAAATTTGTGGTGTATATATAATATATGTAGATGCAAATCATCTACACAAACAATAGCAGAAGAAACAGAACAAAATCCTGCTGATTTATAAAACCGAAGACCATTACAGACATACAAGAAACCAAATAACAAGAATTTGAGATGAGATAGAATCAGAAGAAAAATCTGTCGGAAAATAAGGCTAAATCTACAATTGGTTGATCAAAGATAGTATCTGGTCAGAGTTTGGCTGAACATAGTTCATTATTGTAATCAATTTTCATTGGGTCAAACAGAATTCGATATTATACAGAGCCCGCCAAATCCGCACAAATAAATTTTAATTTGAAATGGAACATCTACAGTCTAAAGGGCGGCAGAGTTTGAATACCGATTCAAGTAGCAGAGAAACCAGTGAAAGCATAAACCATATGATAAACTGAACAGCAGGGGAGACTCAAAAATACAAGCTAGAGCAGAAAACTACAAACTGCCGAGAGAGCAGAACATATAGCAGCATATAGCAAAAAAATAAATTCCAAGTCTCTGAAACAAATTTTCTAAATATTTAAGCATCTCAATGAGCAGGGGCCAGTAATCTTTCCATTTTCAGCTACTCGTTTTATAAACAAGAAACCTAAAATTTAAGCTTGACAGCAAAACCGTTCCCCCGAGAATCATGATTAACATTAGAAAATTAAATGAACGAAATCTCTTGTGTCATGAAAAAATGAAATTAAAACATTATATAGCTACATTGCTCCCAAAACACGAGTTCGTTGATGCATTTCAGTCTCCTCTAATAATACCGTACGTCAAGCATTTCAATCAAGATAGATTTAACTATTTAAAGCCATTCTACAGTATTCCCAAACTTGAAAAGGGGACTAAGAATATCAAAATCAATGAAATGCGTGAATCACGTTGGAACAAAAAGAAGCTTCGTTGTTATTTCGCTAAACTAATAAAAACATATTGGTGTTGGTACATTTCCGAGTATTGATCATGTCCGATTTCCTACAGTTTCTCCTTCACAGAGAGAGAGAGAGAGAGAGAAATTAGGCGCGTATACTCACTCGTAGATTTCTTTCTTGAAGCATTCAAACCCGGATTTCAATCGCTGAATCGGCTCGGCCATTTCCTGCAGTTCGTTAACGAAATCAGATCATTTCCAGTTCGAAAAGGAAACTTAAAACAAAATAACCTGCAAAATTATATCGAAAACGGAACGAATCCAACTCTCACGAGCAGATCAGAAATCAGAAAGACGAAAATAAGAGAAATTATCCGAAAAATTAAGCAAACAGGAAGTTGGAAAGTTACAGGTATTGACTCCACCCAAGAATTGGATCGAAAATTTAGTTTCTAAAATGGAGCCGGGAAGAGATGTTTCTGAGAACGGGGAGAGAGCTTTCGGTAATCGCTTTTTTGTGGTTTATATTACTGTGGTTCTCAGTGGACCAGAGAGGAGGAGAAGCTGAATTGCGGGCGGTGAGAACGGTAGTTGGGGTCCAGAAGTCTGAGATTTCCTGCGCGTACGGCCTACCGTTTGGAGTCGGCACGGATGGAGCCGAGGCTTGACCCGTGGGTTGGCTTTCGGGCTAATGATGGGTTTATCATACCCGTCGGCCCGATTGTACTTATGCTCGATAGATTGTCTGCTGCGTATCATTACAGTTAATTACTTACAATAATAATAATAATAATAATTAATTCAGTAATTCTGAATTGTTATCATAGAGAATAAAATAAATATTGTCAACTATATCGAATAAATGAATGAAATTTTAAAAATAATTTTAATTCGTAAGATTATATAATGAAATTCTCATTATATTGAAGATTGTTGTTAACAACATTTTGAAAGGGTAATCAAATATTGCTATTTACAAATCTAATTTTTTTTTTTCATTCATGTTCAAATCGTCACTCAAATATATAAAATTCAGGATAAAGCTCCAATTCTTATTTTTCAATTTTTATCAAATTCTCGATATCCTGGCCGTGGTCGTAGTATGCATAAATACATCTTTCGATAGTTCAAAAAAATCATTTGGTTGTTAGTTTGCAAATAGCAATGTTTTGAGTGACGTGTATGTAATAAAAATTTTTAAATTAAAGCCCTTATTTTGTGATTTTAGTTAAATGGCTTAAATTTTTATTTTACATTTAAGAGTAGATTAAGGAAAGACATATCTATTTTTGTTGGATCTTAATTTATCCTTTGTGAATCACGCCCTAGAGCAAAGTGAAAGAGAGAAAGAAAAGGAGAAAGTAAAATAAGTTTTGAATTTTTATAGGGAAAATCGAGGAGAGGTAAATGTCTCTCTTATTCGTACTTTTGCCCGTACTTATATAGACATGTCTTGTCAATTATAGAAATTAGAGAACAATTATAGAAACTGTTCTTAATACCATTAAGACTGTAATTAATTGTACAAATTTTATCTTGTATTTGCATTACAATTTGAATTTCAACATTTGTTGTAATTTACAGGTCGAGTGGCTTGAAGTCAGCCAACTAAGGCAACCGGTGGTGTGACGTCTTGGCCCTTTAAAGTACACATTGGTTGGGTTAGGTATTCAACCACATGACGATCTTGCTTGGTGTATTTCTGTCGGCGAGAGTGGTTGGTGTGAGGCGGTTTTTCGGTCCGAATGTCAGGTCGGTTGATCGAACATGATCGGTTGGCTTTTTTTTCGTTGAGTGAGCTGTGATTCATTTTCCCTTCGCCTCGAGTCTTACGGTATTCATGTCTCGCCTGCCTGGTTGGTTTGTCGTCTCGGTCAGATCTCCCAATCTTGCAAGGACTTAGGCGGATTTTTTCCCAACCTATGTGGGATATCCGACAAGGCTCGTTGCTAGGATGATTTACGCTTCACTTTCAGTGGGTCTTGCCGCTCTAGAGCAGGAAACCATCTCCAGAGCTTGAACCTATCCCGGGTTTAGAGACGCTACTTCATACTAGTCCTTTAGTCGTCAGTTTATTGCTTACGTCGAAAGAATGCTCTTTCATCTTGGTCGGTCATTATCTTTGAGATTTGTACTGGTATTTTGTGTGTATATATATTTGTTTCGCGAGTTTTCCCGCTCATTGATAGAGATAAATACAATAAGGACATGAGAATTATTAAAGAATTGTTAGCAATAAATTTGTGAATTAATTGAACACATGACTTCCGTTAGGATTATATGCCCCGTGTGCTCTATAAATAGACATGAACTAAGCCTTGTGTCATTTGTCATTAGTTTCTACTTTTACAACTAAGGTGTGTTACGACTAAAAAATCAAACAGGATCATTGTGGATCCTAAGAGGCTTGTGAGGGAGAGGTTTCAGATTCCTTCTTCTTTACAAAAGAAAATGGCAGTGAGGAAGGAAAAAGGAGCAAGACTCGCGCATTACCTGGTCGATGTAATCGACTCATCGACGATGTAGAAGGTCAGTCGTAGAAGATGCCTCACTGAGGTGTCTTAGAGTCTGGTTTAGGAGTGCACGTTGAGGGCCAGTAGGACCATTCGATCGAGTCGAGTTGTAAGGAGCTGGGGAGAGCGGTTGTCACGATCCTCCTGCAATCACTGTCGTAAAAAAGTGGGGGAGCCTTGACCCTGCAAGCAGAGGAGGCCTTTAAGACTATTTCCTCCCTAAAGAGATTTACGAATGAATTGGCGAGGTCAAAGGAACGCCAGGATGGTGGGTTGTCGAAGAATGCTGCGGAGTCTGTCCCTACCACGGATGTTGATATACATGTTAGAGATGTGGGGCTCCCGCCACTATCAGCTCCGGTAATTTGTCAGCTGCCCGACCCATCGTCCATGATAAATCTCAAGTTGTGGGACTATCAGAGCGAGCACAATCCCCCGAGATTATGGAGCAGCGGGTAGGCAAGATCGAAGCATCAGCAAGGTCGATCGATCCATTTGAGGGACTCGTCGGGAATTCGACTGCAGATCTTGTGCAGAAGCTGTCAGCTCCTGGAGGCTAAGGTAATACTTTTGCGGACAGAGCTAGCCATCCTTCGAGACTGGCTAAACGAGGTGTCACATGAGCTGGAGGGACTTTGTGAGATTTCTAATCTAGTGAAGTTTAACCGAGAAACTAATCAGGTGGACCAGGTTAAAGTAGGTGGAGAGATGATTCTCAGGAAGTTGAGGGGACATGTCCCCTTTGAGGTCTTGGAGGACTCCTTTATAAAACAATGTGTTTGAGGCAAGTAATAATGTTATTCGCAATAAAACAACATTTTAATAAATTTTGAAAAGAAACTTGGTGTGCTGATTATCATTATGTGATGCTTCATTGGTCGTGCCAGCCTTATAAATAAGAGATGTGCTGCTTCTTTTAACATTTTACACTTTAGTTATTTCTTATTTTTCTTCCAATTTTCTCTTCTCCTCTCGTGCCTCGGCTGGTTCTACTCTTATATCTCGAGATGGCCGATCCGACTTTTTTGTTGCGATAGATTTTGTAAAATTTAATTAAGTATAATCAATTAATATTCAAATTCTACGCAAGTATACATATCGTTATCAAGTAATAATGGAATTTCTATCCCAAATATCGATCTCGATCTTAATGGACGGGGAAGGTTTTAATTGGAAATATCAAATTTGCTAGGAAATTCACAGAAAGTCAATTGAAAACACTGTCACTAATTTCAATTGTTGAGATGTAATCAAAATTAAATTTCTAAACTATTATCAAATCAAATATGCAAAATTTAAAACAGTAAATAATAATCTATTAACTATGTTTATGTAACGGAGATTCTTATGTGAAAAAGTATCATTCCCACTACAATGAGGCTATGGTAAAATGAGAAGAGATAAATGTTCATAATATGTATTGTGCCAAATAGGAGCCATTTTAATTCTCTACCCTGATACAGTGCATAGAAAATCATTGACTAATCTCAGTGTTTAGTCCCTAAATCTGTGGATAAGCTAGGAGGATACCGACTCCCACTTCAGAGCTCCCACTTCCCTTCACCTGAAGGCTAGCTCTCTCTTCAGCTTTAAAACACTAAGACTGAATTGAAGATTTTAGTCTGTCACCCTAAAGGTTCTTCAATTTTACAGCCAAGTAAGAATATTTACGTATTTATTTGCACTTAATTCCATAAACGATGTTCTCCTTCATGGAATCAAATGTGATCCTTACTCTGCTGTATAACTCATACTCCATTTCCCAGATCATATGTTTCACAACACATTTTAACAATTCAATTGGCCAGATCGAAAAGTAAATTAAGTTCAGAGTTGAAAAATCATCACAATTTATTTTACAATTTAATATTGGTATGACAGCGACTTTATATATGCTTAAAAATACAAGAATTTGATATTGTTGCTAGAAGATTTAACTCTTCGGCAACGACGCCAAAAACTTGACAACAGTTATAGATTTGATAAAAATGGGTATAAAATATTCAATAATTGCAAAGTCACACTTATCAACGCAAGTATACATATCGCTCAAGTAATACAGGGCTCTAATGGAGTCCTGGATATCTATCCCAGAGGGAGTAATATTGAGACTACGAACTTAGATTTAGAAAATCAATACTTAATCACAACAATATAGTTCAAATTGCTTATCTGTCACTAATAGGCAATTGAAATAAATATGTAATTTTCATAACTCTTAAATAACTAATTCTATTAATAAAATTTTCAATGTGAAGTTCAATATATAAGAAAGCATCATTCTCCTTGTTAAGAAATTAAAGTGAATGGATAAAGTGAATTAGTTCAAATTGTATTGTGCCAAATAGGAGCATACCTAATCTTTACCCTTTGATCCAGACATAAAGAACATTGACTAATCCTATGCTTGGTTACTGAATCTACGGCTAGGTTGGGAGGATACCGGCTCACACTTCAGAGCTCCCATGTTCCCCTCGCCTGAGGGCTAACATCTACACTTCAGCACCCAAACGATAGGACCGAATTGAGGCTTTTAGTCTGTCATTCTAAAATCTTCAATTTTACGCCCGATAATTTTATTTCCCTATTTATTTGCACACAACCTTCGAGGAGTTTGACCTCCCTAAATCTTGGATGTAATCTTCACTTTAGTTGTAAAACTCAACATATTTTAACAAATAAATTGACCAGATTGAAAGTAAATTAATACTACTTATCTTTAATTCCTCCATAAGCAAACTCCTTGAAGTTCCTCTGAATCTCTTCCTTTCTTTACAACACACAGAATTCTTCTTCGATGCGGCAAGGAGGAAGAAATCTCTCACTTTCCCTCCACTCTTACAATCTCTCAAAGAATTCCTCACAATACTAACCCTAAATTAAACTGTTTACACTCTACAAACAACAAAAACTCAGCGGACACCACCACGGGGCTCTCCCTTTCTTTTTCGGCCCGGCCCCCCAATGTTTCTTTAAAGTTGTAGAAGAGTTTTCCAAGAGTTGCCTAAGCGTCCCTTCACAAATCGGCCACATTCAATGCACCTATTAAGAGAACCGCCGTTCTCACCGTCGACGGCCTCAATGGCGTTGTCGGCAGCCTTCTAGAATATTTGATTCTGGACTCTCTGGAAAAACCCGCTGTCGGTGCCGTTGGGCTCGCCGTCGGCGCCCTAGTTCAAATCTTCATATTTTGGTCCTTTTTGCTCCAAATTTGCTC